ATTTGGCTGCAGGTGGCCAGTTACTGTTGTTAGTAGTTGTGTGTTGGTTTTTCACTTCCACTTTTTAGACAAACTAATAAAAATATACTTATTAAATAAAATATAATTAGGTACGTGTTTATAATAAATAATTAGTAATATCTTACTTTCATTTTGATTCACATGTAAAATTACTGTTATTAGGGTTCCGTAGTCAACTAGGAACCCTTATATATCAATCACGCCGACAAAGTGGTAAAATAAAAATTGGAAAAAAATGTTTTATTAGGGTAGCCCCCCTATATGTAAAGTGGTAAGTGATTTTTTTTTAATTTTAACCCTAACGTGGGATATATTGTTGGAAAGGTATTTAAAAATGAATAGGGGTTTACTAAAATCATTTTTTGATAATGTCAATAATTTCGGAAATAAGCGCTCCAAAATTAAAAAACAATGTGTCCCACATCTCTAACTTTTGAACCATAAGTTTAGAAAATATGAAAAAAATCTGAAAAGTAGAACTTTATAAGGACTTTCTAGGAAAATCATTTTGAACTTGGATGGAAACAACAGTACCCACTACTGGGAGCAGTTGCAGGAGCGCGGAGTACTGCTGGAGCGCGAACATGATGGATACCCACCTTTAAACTCATAAGTGGGAACACTGGGGGGGGCGGTTTACTGATATATTTTGTTAAAATTTTAATTGGATTTTTTGTTGGTGTGAATCTTCAGAGAATATTAAGTTCGCCTCGTGAATTCAGAATTTCAATAATAAAAGTGACCGTGTCGTGGTGGTGTAAAAGAATCCGCTACCTCATGTCATTCTGTGGGTGTCATTAGAAGTGAAAGGGAAAAATTGAGATAAGAAATAGGTGGCAGCATCTTCTCTCTTCATAAGCTTGAAATACCTGTGCTGGAAGTGGTTCACGACATTAAACGAATGGCAGGTTAGAGCCCACCTTTTGAGTTCGCAGTCCGCACCCTGACGTTAGGCTACTGTCGCTTAATTATAAAATGAATTAGGAAAAAAATTTGTTGCCATATCACCTATTAAGCGTGTGACTGTGGCAAATATCCCCTATGAGGCAATCTAAGGGGAGGTATATATATATATATATATATATATATATATATATATATATTCAGCATTGAACTTTGATAGGCTATAATTATGATAATTATAATGATTTTAGGATGGATTTTTTCAGCGTTAGGTGGATTAGGTCCACGTACTTCAGTCGAAAGCCAATTATTAAACTGCTTTTTCTATGAATACTTAAAGTTACCTTTTAATGTAATCACATTCTTCTTAATATTGTTAACATTATCTGCGAAATATAGAAGAGACATTTCTTTAATTATTTTTTATGTATTGTAAGCGATATCTTTGCCAGTTGTGAACTGAGTTTAATTTCATAAACATTGAAAATTGATGAAAATATTATTTAACGGGGACTTTTCCTTTTTTCCTTGTCTCCTTAGTTTTGCATAAAATTATTTTAATTCTGAAGTCATTTTTGTAAGCAGTATTGAACTGTTCAAAGTTTGTTAAATTGTTATTATCGAAATGTGACCATAAAACTTACGCACATATATTAAATAGCAATACTTTTTTGTAAGTAGTTCTTTGAAAGATAAAACTTAACATCATAAAGCTTCCTACTATAAAGAATGCCTCAGACCTAAAAGAGCGTTACCATATATATTCAAAGCCTCAGTGATTCAAATCAATTCACCGTTCAGAAGAGAATCGTAAACCCGTTTTGATGGAATCGAGGCATTCCATCTTAGTCCTCAAGGATGACAATGTATCTGCATTTTGATTCTTAATCGAGGAATATCTATGGGTCACAGCATCCAATTACCATCAGGTGGACGGTGTGCTCGTGTCGTCCTATAAAAAAACCAAGCAGGGCTTCTTTTTTTAAATAAATTGAACAATGTGACACTATTACAGTTACATACTCGTACATTTTACAGCTACGAATTATTTAAAAAAAAATATTTTAGAAACAGCTTGTAAGCGACCACGTCATATCCAGGGGTTATTATCAACCATGTATTCATTTATATGGTTACAAATTATTAACAAAATTTATTTTAGAAACAGCTTGGAAGTGACCACGTCATTCACAGGGGTTATTATCAAGCATTATTCATCTATATATAATAAACCTTTTTATACAGTTTTTGTTTAATTATATATTTAGATGTGTGTGTGTATGTTTCCATTTCCGTTTACACCTACATCCATATGATAAAATAAAGAAACTTTAACTTATGTTAATAATAAATTAAATATGATACAAGAATTACAATATACATGTAAAATATAAGGTTCGTTTTCATGTACTAAGAGTGACCATCACGAGAAAGGATAGGTCCCGGTGATTGTCACTCTTAGCATAAAGCAACTCCAGAACGTTGAATTGAATTGATTCGCTAATATTTTTGAAATGCTATTGAAACTGTTTCCTACTCTATTGATAAAGACGTTTTTTTTTGCGAATGATGGCTTCGAAGTCATTAGTTTGGTACTCTGCAAACTGTACCAGTTTCACTAAATTAGATGTTTTATTAGTGACCTTTTGACAAAAAAAAAACACTTGTAAGTTGTGAACTTTAAATAATCACTAGATTTTAAACACATAAAGAAATTATAGGGAATTAACTTTAAATAGTTTTCTTTTTTGTTTACTTTTACTTCGCCTATTTTGACATTTAAGGCGAGCGTCCAGCCATTCATTTACTTCTTAATTCTCTTTTTATATTTGCCAAAAGCTTAGCCACATTGAAACTAGAAATATTACTTGAAATCATGAGCAAATATTACATTGTAATGCAAGTATTGCGTTAACAAGTAATTCCTGACTAAGAGACCCACGACATTAATGTTTGGTACGCGATGACAACGTTGATCCCTTTCACTGGAACAAATGGTTTTTACGCAGTAATACTATATTCATTTTTTTGCAACACCTTTACTGCTATGATAAACTGCAATATGTAATCGTTGTATTTATTGACAAATACAATGAACAAAACGCCTACATGTACCACTGCAATAACGTGACTGACCCAACATCATCTTAAAGACATTATTGTAATGGATTTTTAGGGTATCCAACGATTTGTTGGTGTGTTTGATCGACATGTTTCCTGTGTACATGATTTGATAGTATGTTTTAAATATATCACTTATACCTCTTCCGTACAGCAAGAAAACCTGCGATCCGTTTCAATATCATCATCGTCTTTGAGCTCGTTTGTGATAACATGCCCAAGATTTTTAAATTTCTATACGTGTATGTTCAAACCATTAAGGGTAATGTTGATAATATTAACGGGACATTTTCCAGCGGCTCCATAGACCATGTATTCAGTCTTTATGACATTGTAGGTAAGCCCATGTACAGCGGCTTACTTCTCGCAGATATTCAACATCACTTTCAGGCCCCCCACCATGGGCCGGAGCAGCGCCATGTCGTCTGAGTAACTAATGTTCTTTATTCTAATTTCATCTATCATACATATTAAAGAGTTTGGGAGACGATAAGGCCCCCTGCCTCACCCCGCATTCCAGCACATACTGATCTGATAAATAATCAGCCCACTTATCATGATTAATTTTTAGTATACTAAAACTTGTTCACTTCTTCCGGTGCACCCCCGTTCCCCAGTTTACTCCAAAACACATGATACAACACCATGTCAAAAACCTTAGAGAGATTGAGAAAACAGGCGATTACCCCTGTCTTACGATAAGTTTAATATTGGGCGGTGTGCTTTAGACTTACTATAACGCTTTTAGTCAAAAGTCCCGGGCGAAACCCAAATTGAGCGTCATATATGCTAGAATGTGTTTCCAATTTAGAGTTAAGCACACTATCCAATACTTTCGCAATTGTTGTTGCCAGAGAAATAGGACAATAGTTTCTCTTATTAGAGATATCACCAGTTCAATCCTTAACAATGGGTACGCCGATGTTTTTCATTACGCCTTGTGGTAGTTAAGAGTGACATTACGCATAAATAAATAACAGAGTCAGGTCTCTCGGCGGGCGAACCACCACATATTGAAAGTGCTCCACACTAATGCCTTTATGACCGGGAGACTTACGGCTGCTCTTTTTCTTGAGAGTCTCTTTTATTTGGTTTGCAGTATGCACAACAACTATGCATCTCCTTGACATTCCGACTTAGTACTGTGGGCGCTGTGGGTTGGAACCGTAGGATCCAGCGGTGAGCGTCTTTTAAACTAATGCATGAAATCACTGGCGATTTACACCAGGTCACCGTCCATAGATTTTCAATACTCACCACCACTCAGCGGTGTTCATCAAAACTCACCAGTCGGCCAGGCCTAATGTCACACATTTTTGTCAAATTTATAGCGGCATCCCATCCCTCACAACGTTCACCACACCTTGTTTACTGAATATACAATCATCATCATCACAAGTCTCACAAGTACACTGCTGAACATAGGCCTATACTATAGTAGAACACTTGCATCGTTCGAAATCCTGCATATTTAATCAGGTTGTCACTCCAACGATTGAAGAAATTACATCTTATAGAGAGTGAGTATTTACTTTTAAAAACGCATGACAAGAAAGTTTGTCACAAAAGAACACTACCCCTAGCACATTAAATATTTTTGTAGATCAAAATTGCAAATATTTATTAACAAATGAACCTTACGATCTTATAACTCTCGACAAATGGTGTATGATATTTCTTTGGTTGTTAAATGTGGTTATTTCTTAATTATAAAACAGCCTAATTAATTGTTGACAATTATAACAGTTACCCGTTACGTCGATAATGAGAACCAGTAATGATTATCAACTGCCAGGTCATTAAATAATGATATCATCGAAGTGTCTTATATAAAGCAATTTTTGTACAATAGTTTTTAAAACTAAATTACATTTGCGTGTTGTTAATAATAGTCAAGATAGAAGTTAATCATTAGCTTTCATAGTAAGAAGTATAATAAATTCCGTGTAGAAGCAATGTATGAAATTTTGGTAATCTTGAGATATAATTTTATATCAGTAACTTTATTTTTTATATCGATTTTTGGTGCAAACGTAGAAGCTGCAAAAATATTAGCTGTGTTTCCAGTACCATCGATAAGTCACCAAATAGTGTTTCGGCCGCTCACACAGGAATTAGTTCGGCGTGGTCATGAGTTAACTGTAATAACTCCAAATCCAGCCTTTTCCAAAGGACAAGCTCCTCAAAACCTCATTGAGATTGACGTTCAAAATATATCCTACGCAGTTAAGAATACGATTATGGAGAAAGTGAGTGAAAATAAAAACAGTCTATTTAAACAAATGATGTTACTCTCAGAGTTTTTTTTAAAAGTGTTTGAGGTGCAATTGAAAAGCGAAGAATTCCAAAGGATATTGCGTTTGGACAAGAATTATTTTGATTTACTTCTTATAGAAGCATGTGTATCTGGCACTCTGGGACTATCGCATGTATTTAAGGCTCCAGTTATTCAAGTTAGTTCCTTAGGCGCATTAATGTTAAATCATCAAGCTATGGGTATTCCTATGCATCCATTTCTTTATCCTGCATCTATACGAACGAGAATATATAACCTTACTGTATCAGAAAAATTTAGTGAACTTTTGGGCATAGCTTTTTCAATGTACATGGCGGATTACACAGAAAACGAATATAATCAATTGTTGCGTGAAAACTTCGGCATTGATGTGCCTACTATAGCAACCTTGACAAATAATATTGATATGTTGTTTCTGAATACCAATCCCATATGGAGTGGTAGTTATCCAGTACCACCGAACGTTGTTTTTATAGGAGGAATACATCAAAATAAGATCAAGGAACTGCCAAAGGTAAGGCTTACCAAATAATATTAAAAATATCATAACCTAGCTTATACTAGCCGTACGAGGACGCTCAAGGTTGCTCAGCGAGCTATGGAGAGGGCTATGCTCGGAGTTTCTCTGCGTGATAGACTCAGAAATGAGGATACCCGCAGTAAAACAAGAGTGACCGACATAGCCCAAAGGATTAGTAAGCTGAAGTGGGAATGGGCCGGCAATATAGCTCGAAGAACCGATAAACGATGGGGAAGAAAGGTTCTCGAGTGGCAGCCTCGTACCGGTAGGCGTAGTGTAGAGCGACCCCCCACTAGATGGAGTGACAACCTAGACATGCGGGAAGTCGATGGTTGCAGGTGGCTCAGGACCTTGCTTTGTGGCATTACTTGGGGGATGCCTATGTTCAGCAGTGGACCAGAAAATTGGTAACCAAAGCTTAATTTATAGTTCGGAAGATTGCGATACATCTTCTCGTCAGGCATACCGCAAAATCTCAAAACTCGATTATACCAACAGTGCGTATCGCCAGTATCCCCTCTCGGTTGTTTAGCATCAAGTTCTTTCTTCATGTTTTGCAGTTGCTGACAATAGATATCAGCCGTAATTGTTTGGCCAGATTTTAGAAAGGTGTAGTGAACAACACCGGCGCTAGTCCACCAAACACTTACAAGTAACTTTTTCTGAGTCAATTTTCGTTTAGGGCAAGATTTGGCTGGGTCTCCAGGGTTCAGCCATTGCGACGAGCGCTGCCGATTATCGTTCAGTATCCACTTTTCATCGCAAGTAATGATTCGATTTAAAATCCGTTCATTTTTGTGTCGGTTGAGCAAAGTAACAAAACAGTAAATGCGTGTTTGCAAGTTCGATTCACTCAATTCATGAGGTACCCATCGTTCTTTTTACTTTCCTGATTTATCTCAAGTTGATTAATACAGTTTTATCACTTACCCCGAAGCGTGCAGCTATTTCTGAAGTGCTTTGTGATGGATCCGCTTTCTTTCCTCCGGCCGTCACCAGGGTTGGTTCTGAAGGTTGAAATTTCCGGAACGAAAACGTTGGAAAAACATACTGTGCTTTCTTTTGCGACACCAGCGCCGTACACATCGTTAATCCTTCGAGCTGTTTCTGCAGCACTGGTGCCCACGGTAGAACTCGTACTCGTTAATATACCGATATTTCATGTTTTCCATTGTGCGGTAATAAAAAAATTATGAGAAAAAAACAAATGAATGTTTTCTAAACTCAAATATACCAGCTAAATGAATTTATAAATTTGAATTTGACATTCTTAACCAAAGAGGAGATATTTCAGATCAAAGTGGTCAGTACGACAAAACGCTAATTTCATATGTAAGGACCTAATATTAGTGCCTAGGCAACTGAGTTTTTCCTCGGCTTTGGCTTTTTAGGTAAAAGCATTTTTATAATAGTATCTACTTTTTTATCACGTAGATAAAATTGGAAAGTACAATATTATTTCAATACGAAATGTCATCCAAATCATTAGAGTAGTTTTCGAGAAAACAGTTACTGAATTAAGTATATATTTTTATTACACAAAAAAGTATTGAATATATATCTACAAAACAATGATTTTCTGTAAAACTATTGTAATCAAAACATTTTCAACCAAAGCTTTGAGATTTTATGGTTTAAAAGTTTGCATATGCTACGAAAACTGCGTAACTTCGCAAACAATATGCGCTAGAATACGAAAGAACAAAATAATTTAAAATAATCCGCCACCTTCGCTATATTTCAGACTCTGTATCAGAGTTGTCGCTGTCACCAAGCGATACCGTTATATTATATCCACGTTTATATGAAATTGTTAGTCAAAAGCTACGTCTGAGTTTCGTAGTGACAGACGATTTTTCTTTTGTGCGCAGATTTACTCCAGCAATAAAATGACAGATAGTTCTGTATCGAGAAAAAAGCTATGGCTATCTCCCTCCGGTTCGCTGGTGCCCCGTGTTAATCTATGACTATAGCTATTAAAATTATGAATATAGAATATTTAAATTCACTTAAATAAATATTATTGGTACTTTTTCAGGACTTAAAATCTCATCTTGATTCGTCTAAAAATGGAGTAATTTATGTTAGTTTTGGCTCCAACGTGAAAATGGATATGTTCTCTCCAAAAATTATCAAAATTTTAGTAACAGTTTTTTCCGAACTTCCTTATGATATTTTATGGAAATGGGATCAAGACAAACCTCCGCGACTACCAGAAAATGTTAAAATTGCTAAGTGGTTTCCTCAAGCTGACTTACTCCGTAAGTGTTTCACTAAAATCCTCTTCAAAATCACGTTAAATGCAATAACTCTATATGTTAACAATTAAATACATTTTAATATACCGTGCCATGTTAGGCAAATGGAAAACTTGTTGTTGAATTCACTTTCTATTTGCCTGCTACAGAGATTTTGCTGTGAGATTATTAAACGTAGATTGATATTTAATTAGACAAAGTAATGCAAAGCAGCTATTCAAAATTAATTATTCTGACTATGTACTAAAATATAATATTAAATAAAATAAAATAATTACTTGTTTTTAAGATATCTTAAGATGATATGGAGAGATAAAAAGGGAGAGAAATAAATTTTCGAACAGTTTAAAAGTTTGATAATGGGGTTTGGCCAAACGGTGTAAGTGAATAAAACATGTATGAAATGGCATTACATTTGACATAATAGATTAAGGAATAACAATTATCTGTTTTTTAATCCCTTTTAATAAATCTGTTTTTTTAATCCCTTTTAAAATATTTAACATATCGGACGCATTCTATAGCGTCGGCTGTGAAAGTGGCGATGGTGGGATAGGAGGTGTTGTCAAAAAAACTCTTGTGGTGATTGGGATGAAGACAATGTCCCAGAACCTAATTCATTAGTACCACTACGTGTGCTCACGATGCTGGTATTCAAAGAAAAATTGTCGTCGAAACAATCATCAACATCGGAATCACCACCGACTTCTAATTGTAATGGCCTGGTCATCTGTTTTTTTATAGAAGAGGGGGCAAACGAGCACGCGGCTCACCTGATGTTAAATGGCTACCGCCGCCCATGATCAACCACAACACAGGGGAATTATAGGTGCGTTGTCGGCCCTTTAGAAAGGAGTAAGCTCGTTTTTTGAAGGTCCCCAGGTCTCATCGGTCCGGAAAGAACGCCGAAAGTAACGGTATTAACATCAATGGCGCGTACATGATTCACCTTCGATTTGCGGACGAAGTTAGTGTCCCCCAACGGATAGGTTTTAAGATGAACGTGGACAAAACATAGATCATGTTTAATGTACACTTATGTCACACTTATGCCGATGATTGATGGGAGCACTAAGCTCAAAGTTGTTAACGAGTACGCTTACCTGGGACAAATAGTCCGACTAGGTAAGTCCAACTTTAACCGAAAGGTCAATCGACGGATTCAACTCGACTGGGCAGCGTTCGTGATATTACGACACATCTTCTCGTCAGGTATACCCCAGAACCTGAAAACTAAATTGTAAAACTAGTGCGTGTTGCCAGATTATTTATCTACCTAAAACGTGGTCTTTCACTGCTGGCCGTATGGTGATGCTCAAAGTCACTCAGCGAGCTATGGAGAGGACAACGTTTGGGGTTTCTCTGCGTGAAAAACTGAGAAATGAGAATATCCTCAGTAGAACCAGACTGACCGACATGGTCCACCGGATTATTAAGCTGAAATGGTATTGAGCCGGTCATATAGCTCGAAGAACCCACAACCGATGTGGCAAAAAAGTTTTCGAGTGGCAGCCTCATACCGGTAGGTGTAGTATGGAGCGACCCCCTAGATGGAGTGACGACTTGGTAAGACATGCAGGAGGTCAATGGATGCAGGAGGCTTAGGACCGTGCTTTGTGGCATTCATTTGGGGAGGCTTATGTTCAAAAGTGGACTTGTGAAAGGCTGAAATGATGATGATGATGATGATAAAAACAAAATACAATTTAAGCTTTAAGTCGGCTTTTTATGTGTTCACTAATTAAAATGCCGCTTCTGGCCCTTGGAAAACGTTTTGGTGAACTAGTACGCAATTTGTTGACTAACGACGGTTGTCAGGAGAACGGTAACTGAGTCCATAATATAAATTGGAATCGGCAAGTAATAAAGCATAATCATGGGATAAATAATGCTTTTTTCAAATTTTATTGTTGATCATATTTAACGCTAATTCATTACTAAGAATTTAAACGAAAAGGGATACGCCAATACAGCCTAATCAGACTTTTTATATAAATTGTATACATAAATCGGAGCGAAAATACTAACAAAAATTAAAATAAAAAAATAACATTAGTAACCGACTTCTGTGTATTGATTTTTATGTAACGAATGTCATCCAATTTTGTAAATTTTTTTTTCTAAAAAAAAAATGTTTCTCATATAATTGATTGTTTTTTTAACATTTTTTTAATTTTTAGTTAGCGAGTTTTACAAACAAAGAAAAAATATTGCAATAATTTAGTTATTAAATACTAATATACTTTTTGTATCTATTTATTTGATGGAACTACTGTGACCAAAAATAGACATATCCCTTTGAGTTTACATCACGCCTCTTTAAAACGTTTAAGTGCATATAGACGAAATAGATTTAAAGGCTTAAAATACTTGAAGGTTTGATGATGAATTTATAAAAATCATACGTTTTATTTACAGAGCATCCTAAAATAAAGTTGTTTGTCACACAAGGTGGACTTCAATCAACCGATGAAGCGATTACAGCTGGTGTGCCGTTAATTGGTTTTCCAATATTGGCAGATCAGGCGTACAACGCTGAGAAATACGAACATTTTAATATTGGCATGAAGCTTGATATAGGAAAAATAACCAAAGAACAACTTAAGAACTCAATACTTAGTGTTATTGGTAATGTAGAGTGAGTATACACTTTTGTTGTGGTTAAAGCGATTTTGTGGAAACTATCCAAAGAATTCCTGTATTTAATAAAAATGTTACCCACTAAAAACGTTTGTTTTAAAACCAGTGTTGTGGATATTTTTTTCATTATTAGGCTGGTGTCTTCGGTTATTAACTGTTCAATAGTAACATATCCTATGTTATTTTAATGGATTTGCCGCAATGGCTAAGATTAATAAGTTTCATTAATGTCACCAGTTTGGCATTCTATATCTGGCATTTTTTTCTTTCCAAGAGAAACTTTAACAATAAACGGATTGAAATAATACTAGTTTTTACGGAATTTATCGCGTATATTTTACTTTTAACACTTTCGTGTTAATAGTAAATATATATGTATGTGCGTGACGGATGTTAAAAGTATTTCTAAAAATATCTACTTCAAATATATGTACAGTATAGATAGTAGTAATAGGCAGTAAGAGAGTTTCAGCTCCGCGCTCACCAATCTTAATTATCATTTCTGGCAATGTAAAGGCCAAGCTTCAAGAATTGCATCCAACTTAGCGCACATCCACATTGATCACAATGCTTGGCAGGCTGGTTTACGATAGTATTATCAGACGTCTTGCACCTTTGATGCTCTTGGCCGTTATTGGTCTGGGAATTTTGATGTTCTTTCTCATAATCATCTCTTACGATATCCGCGGCCCGACGTGTGTTGATAAATTCCCTTAATTCTTAAAAAAAAAATTGTCACATAAAATTTCATTGATCGTGTTTGTTACAGTTACCGGAAGAATATTGTAAAACTACGTGCGCTCATTAATGATCAACCTCAACCACCCTTAAAACGAGCAGTATGGTGGACTGAATATGTATTACGTAATGGCGGTGCTCGACATTTGCGCTCTCCAGCTGCAAACGTATCGTGGTTCGAATACTTGGAAATCAAATTTGTGTTTATTTTGTTATCTGTTATCTTAGCATTATTAACAATATTGATAGCTTTAGTGAAACTTATATTTAAACTACTTCGTATGCTTTTTACTAGGAAAAAATTAAAAGTAAATTAAAAAATGAAAATTTGTTATTTTTATGTATAGTATATATTTATATATTTGCTCTTAATTTAACAAATCATTTCAAAAATTTGAAACGATTTGTTATATGTCTAAAAATAGAGTTATATTTTGAAGTAACATTTTTTCGCTGAATTGTTGTTTGTAACGAATACGGGTATAACTCTGTTTGTTCTAGTACTATAAAATTTCCTCCTAAAAAAAAGAGCCTAACAAAGAGCTCCCTTTAAAAAAATTTTTCTGAAAAGAAAAATATATTATTTTAAAAACTCATGCTATATGGGCAGGAACACTTTGTCATTCACTTCCTAAATTAACATTTTTTGTCATTACTTACGGTACTTTCAGGTGATGCTTTTAACAGGATAAAAGCTGTAAAATAAATGAACACATGATTAGGAAAACTAGTTTTGATTTTATATGTGTAGGACTGTAGATTTTATTGTGGACTTTATCTTATAGCAGAGCTATTTATATATTTTTTTTCAGAATCAGAATATTTATTGCCAGTAAAGAGTGTTAATTAAATATTACATGTTTTACCCATATCAAATTGTTTCTGCTAATAAGAATAATGCATAACCGTAGCTAGAGACTTTTGTGTTTATTTTATCAATGTAAGATTTCCAGTTTAAATGCCAGTCTAAAAAAATTTCAGATATTTTTGACAAGTTAGATAAAAAGAGGCTTCTTTGATATTACATTTTGAACCTTTTTTATACAAAGCTTTTATTTTTGCTGTTTTTAATTTATCTGAAAAGGTACCAGTTTCTATGATTAAGTTAAGTAAATAAGCAAGAGGCTCTCTAATATACTTTATGGATCTTATAAACATTTTGGTCGATATATTGTCGTAGCCGCAACTTTTTTTATTTTTGAGGTTCAATATTATTTTCTCCTATTCATTTGCGTCAACGGTTAATATATATATATATATATATATATATATATATATATATATATATATATATATATATATATATATATGTGTATATGTGTGTGTGTGTGAGAAGGTAGAGGGTAGGTATCTGTGACTTGCGTTTGAGCGTTAATGGTAGCAAAACGCGTGTTATATACTTCAGCTATAGAACCTGCATAAGTGATATGGGGTATCTTTATAGTTTTCTCATCTGGTTGGGTTCTACAAATATATAATTATTATACATGAAAATGAAAAGATGAATGAAAAATATACAAAAATATCAATAAAGTAAAATAAATACAAAAATATATAAATACCCTCGGCAGGGGAGACCAATTGGCCGAGAGTTATGGGGAAAGGGAAAGAAACCGGCGGACGATGCGGGCGGTATCGAGGAGCACCGCCTTCTGCATTTGAGCCCGGAGCGGCCCGTCATGGAGTCCCAGTCGCTTCAGATGACCCGAGAGCCTAACTGGGATTAGTCCATTCGCAGAGACGCCTACAGGAATAATTTCGGTTGGCAGACCACCCCACATGTCGGTCACCTCGTGAGCCAGGTCCAGATATTTTGTTCGTTTATCTGTTTCGGCTTTTACGAGGTTCTCGTCATTCGGAATGGTAACGTCGACCAAAAATATCCTTGATTGTGCCCGGTCCATCAGCATAATATCAGATTCATTCGCAAGACCGGCCTTCATCAGATAGGACTATCTGTGATGAAGGCCCGGTCCCAGTAGAGCCTGGCGCAGTCATTTTCAAGCACAGCTTCCGGTAAGTACTTATAAGGCAGTTTCCGATCAACGAGACCGTATTTCAGAGCGAGCTCCTGGCTACTAGGTTGTGCCTGTGCAAGTACTCAGAGTTAGAAAGTGCCGAACAACCGGAGATGACATGCCGACAAACTCGACAGATGTCGGCGGTGCCTGCCTTTAGGATGTATCTACGAAAATAGTTGGTCTTAATAACCTGATCCTGTATTACACAGACAAAACCCTCGGTTTCCCCGAAGAGGTCACCGAAACGTAGCCAGTGGAGGGAGGCGACTGAATCTACGAAGGGCTCATGTAGAGCCTTGTAGTACGTCTCATGGAGCTCCTTCTCCTTCCATACGGTCTTCCAGTCGGAAATGCTCCGTACTGCCGGGTCTTGCCATTGCTCGTTGGCTAAGGATAGAGGATAAGCCCTTTATCACTAGAAATGACGTCCCTATAGAATGGATCATCCGATCTCGCCAGGAAGTAATGACGGAGGCTGCACACTTCGCGATAATGCATGGTGAGCGTGCTCAGAAAGCCACGCCCACCATGCTTTCGCGGCAAGTACAGCCTCATTACCGACGATCTCGGATGAGGCATCCTATGGGACGTCATGGTAGTGCGGACTTTTCTATCCAGGGCGTTAAGTTCAGTCTGAGTCCACCTGAGTATGCCAAAGGTATACATGAGGACAGACATGACCCAACCGTTATATGCTTGTGTGTTATTCACACCGGACAAAAGTCTGTTAAGCACTTTGGTCAAGCGTGCATAAAACACGTCGCAAACTGACTGTTTCATACCAGCCTCATCGATACCAATGTTCTGTGACATGCCCAGGTATCGGTATGTTTCAGCCTCGGAAAGGGTCCTTAAGCTGATTGGCATAGATAAGTCTATGCCCTCAGAGTTAGCAACTCTTCCCCTGTCAACATCGGGACCGCACACTTATCCGTCCTCAGCTCATTCCAATAGAATTGCTAAATTCACAAGTGATGTTTAGCAATTCCACAAGATGGGAGTGACTGGAGGCGAATAACTTGAGGTAAGTGATATTATTATTATGAATTCACATTCTTAATAATTGTTTTAAATACGTTTTGTAAAGTGATCTGATTTTTTACCAAGTGCCATGTAGTTTTATTTTTGTTGTTGTTACTATTTTTAACGAGTTTTGTTTTGCTAAACGTGATACGGATTTTAATATTTTGTAATATTTTTTATAATATTATATTAATTCGTTTTTCTTTTATGTATTTAGTATTTTCTGATGTAAATTTCTTTCAGTTTTGTATGCTCTTTTTATGCTGTCTGTTAATTTGTTTTTTTTTTGAAAAAGATTCTAACCTTTCCCATGGGTATACAAAGATCGTATATTAATTTACTTCACCTGGTTAAAGTGATGTGGGCGCCAAAAGCAGATTTTGCACGCTTTATAGGTGCGTAGAAAAGCAATTTTTTGTCATTAAAAACTACGAATCCAAATTTTTTTTTAAATTTATTATGAAAGTTAAACATTTTTCCCTTTCCGACTCTTCCATTCACTTCTGCAACATTTTTTTTTCTTTGTCAGTCTTTCCGCATGCATATTTCTACATGACCAAACCACCGAAGCATTCCTTTCTTAATCCTGGTCACAGCATCATCTTGCAAACCACACTCTTCTTTTATCACACAGTTTTTCGCCCTGTCACACAAATTCAGCCCTAACATCTTACTCCTTAGCGACCGCATTTCTACTGCATTTATTCTACTCTTGTGCTTCTTCTGCCACACCCAACTTTCACTACCATATGTTAAAGTAGGGACTAATACAGCATTGTGAATTGCCATACGTGCCTTTTTTGACACATTCTGACTTTTCAAAATAGAGTGTAGAGCCCTATTTACTTTATTTCCTGCATTCACTCGGTGTTCATTATACTTATCATATCTCCCATCCCTGCTGAATACACATCCCAAATATACGAACTCATTCCCTTGCTCAATTAACTCTCCTATTCTTATTTCACATACCGTTTTGCTTTCTTCTCTTTCAAAAACCACCACTTTCGTCTTACTTGTATTCACTTTTATTCTCCTTTCTTTTAATGACCTGTTCATTAATGTAACCATCATTTGCAACTCGGCCGCCGACGACGCAAGTATGACTTAATCATCGGCGTACGAAAGGCATTTGATAGTTAACTCACCCATTCTTAATCCGCATTCTTAACATTCAAATTTTCCAAACAACTGTCCATAAATAGGTTGAACAGCCACGGAGAAGCTACACAGCCCTGTCTGATACCTTTATGGATGCCAAACCAGTCCGAGTAGACCCGGTGATTCTAACACAAGCACTCGAGTCCCTAAACAGAGACTTTAATGCCTGTTTTAAACCAGCGCTCAACCTAAATGCTTTCAGCGTTTGCTATAACACATCCCTGTCCGCTCTGTCATAAGCCTTTTCCATGTCCATGAACGCACAAAAAGCTTTGTGGTTTTTCGCCAAAAACTTCTCCGCGATCATGCGCATGGAAAAGACTTGATCTGTACACCCCATTCCCTTTCTAAATCCTGCTTGCACATACCAAATTTTTTCATCAGTTTCTTTCATAACTCTTTCAAATAATACCTTAGCATACAGTTTTCCCACAAATCAATCTTCAAATTGTTTAACTGTGTTAATTCATAATTCACAAACTTAAGGTCGCTGCAAACGTGACATGTTTTATTCCGGACAGTGCGAGACGTCAAATTTTGGGAATTTCGTTTCATAGCAAGTGTATGTAATGTATGTGAGATGAATGGGACGGGAATTATATCGTCTGCGACGGTGTTTATCCCATTCCACCCCTTGCGCGCCATTTCCTGTCCGTGGTTACGCTGCGTATGTGCAGTCGCTCCGTTGAATTCTTCATCTTCCATCTTCACGACAATAGCACGTTAGTTTCGAGTAACTGTCCTATATCTCACTGTGCGTATGTATTGAACTCTTATCCGTGTTGATATAAAACCACGTTCCATCTCCGTCTCGTGGACGTGCTGATTCAGTCATGTATGTAGCGAACTTTATTGTTCATAAAACGATGTCTACGTGTAAAATTAGCTATGTAGTGGCGGCGTAAGATCAGAGTCCATTGCTCCACGTTGCTATGTAGGTGCCGCAGAGGCATGACGACGCAAATTAACAAGAAAACTGCGGTAAACTGCCTGCTAAGCGTGGCAAATATGAGGCAAGCAATTTGTGGAGGAGACCTATGTTGAGCAGTGTACTTTTAATAGTATGTAATTAATGAAATAAGGAATATAAAGCTAAAATGAAGTGCCTAAAAGGTACGGGCTAAAAGGTTTGATTTAGTAGAGTTAAATCTCCTCCGGCAAAGAATCTGATAGAAATTGCAGGAATATTATTAGCACTTTGCTGATTTATTACGTACTCGGCGGTGAAAAAAATCGTCTTCATTCATAACTATAGTAATAATTTGAAATTTTACTATGTAACATAATACAAATTAATAGCAGGTCTAAGACACGGACTCTTAGGTTTTTTTATTGTACAAGGCTGACAAACGAGCACACAGTCCACCTGATGGTAAGTGGTTGCTGCGGCCCATAGACATAATATACATCTTTCCTCGATTACGGATAAAAATACTGACGCGTTGACACCCGTGAGGACTAAGATGGAATGCCTCATTTCCAGTAAAAAGGGTCTCCGGTTCTCTACACTCACCGTACGAAACACAGCAGCGTTGGGCTGCTATTTCACGCTGGTATTCTGTGAAAGCGTGGTCCTTCCCCGGTCGAGCCGACCCATTCGTGCTACAACTATACTACTAATATAACTGCAGCATGGCTCTACCACGCGAGAAGTCGTGAGTGAGTCACGTGAGTCTTAGGTACCTAAGAGTAGTATTGTTAGGTAGTTAGGGACATCGGACTCTTACTTATTTTTGCCGCCAAGCAACAGTGCGTTCACTGCTATATTCCAGTCTGAAAGGTAAAGTAGGGGTATATGTGAGCTTAAGTAGCCGCCAGGTGGACCTTGTCACTTAAATGTTGTTATTTTTTAAGTTCAACATGTTTCCAGATATTTTTTCAAACTCATTGCATAAATTTAAGTAAAAATGATATAAAAAAATACCAGGAAAAGTAGGTTTGTTTACCTATTTATTATGTTTTCAAGTTATAATTGCTTTTCATGAAGTAAAATCTTTGAATAATAATAAAGTTTATTTTATTATATATATAACCTAATATATTAATATAGAAAAAGCAGACATCTTGCTTTAAAAACTCTTTGCTTCTATTCCCATACTGCCTGTATTTCAGTTCATCATATTTGCAATGTTTTAATAATAAGTTTAAATTTCTAAAGTGCATTAGTCCTTTTTGACCATTAAATTTTACTGAAGTACGTATGTAAATGATTTGATTGAAATTGATTCTTCTACAATGCATATCTACTACGACTGAGACACATAAATCATAAGCAAATTAAAAAAATTAAAGTAAAACGGACGAAAGTAACTTAAGTACTATCTTGCACGTAACTTAAAAATGGCCTTTGTCGGAAAGAAATAAGGACTACCTGAAGGAAGCTTTCTCGTGAAATAATATAAATCAGGAGAGCTGTATTCGCATGTATTAATTTACGGTTTCATTTTAATTTTTTACACAAAAACCTAAATATATAAGAAAAACGTTACCTCCTTTTTATTTGTCATTATGTATTTATTTATTGTGTCGGCTTAGTCTGTTTGTTCAGTTTGTCTCTGAGTAAAGTAAAAAAAAATCTAATGGGCGTAAAGAGCGAACAAGTACAAACCAAAATATTGTATGACACATTCCATATCATAGTGTATTAATTTGATTTTACTTTCTGATTTACTAATGCCTTAGTTGAAAAAAAATGTAGCAAATAGTACAATGCAATGACACATAGTCCAATAACAAAAAAGAGAGAAATTAATAAAATTAAAAGTAGTTTAACTTCATAATATTCTATCCAAGTTAAGTTCGCAGCAGGGGCCCGTAAATGCTCAGCTCCTTCGTGACGCAGCACATACTCTGTCCACCACACTGCTCGCTCTAGTGGACTTTGTGGCGTGTCATGCATTAATGACCGGAGGCGTTGAATATTGCGACGATAGCTGTAGAATTTGTAAAATTACTGTACTAGAGAAAATTACGGATAAAATACGGCTTATAATTAGATACACAATGTAATGATAAATATTTTTATATATTAAATATGGATTTAAAACTTTGTCATAAAACATATTGCAATAATAACAACGTATTTAGAAAAATTATATTGATAGAGTCAGGATTTAACTTGCGGAAATCCATTATATAAAAATGTTTTAAAAGTCTTACGCTAAGATCCGCATAATAAAATAAAACTATGGGTCTCACCTAGCTTGAAGATCACTTTCTGTCCTCCTTCAATTGCTTGCACTGTCCCCGTCACCACTAATCCCAGCACCACTACTCCCACCACCATTATACGAAGAAAGAAATACCTCAGGTGAAGTTAAGTCTGCTTGTTACTGTTGGAATTAGTGGTGACGGGGATAGTGCACGCAATTATATGTAGTATGTATTATATTGCGAAAAAATAAATAAATCTGGACCTGTTAGGTGGCGTTGTGGTTGAATTAATAAATTTTTCTTTTTGTTTTCTATTAGTCTGGATTGGATTCGGACTGGAACCTATCGCTACCTAACTACCTAAAGACAGAACAACGTTCACCGAGCCAAATAGTAACTCCGTGGCGCAGTGGCTTAGCAACGAGTGGCTGTGCTGGGGGTTGCGTGTTGGAATCCTGCACGGAACAAGTATTTGTATGGCCTACAAATAATTGTTCCGGGTCTGGATGTTTGTCCTTGTGCAATTTATGTTTGTAAACTGCCCCCACGAAACAGGAGAAAATCCTAGTGTAACGTTTTAAAAAGTGATTAAAAAAACTAGTAAGATAATAATTATTTTAAGGTATTAGAGTCAGATTGCAGCTGTGCCGACCCATACTTAAGTGGGGAAAAATCGTGATTTCACAATGTAAAATAGCAGTATTAATATTTCTGCTTTGCACGGCGTAGTAGGGTGAATCAGAGATCCTTTCTGTAAGTAACGACGAACGAAACGACGATTCCATCGAAGTTTTTATAGATTAGATGCTATCTGAAATTTGATTCTAATTCGAGGATAAATGTAAGATTCTATGAACCACACTATCCAATGGACTGTGTTCTTTAGTTAACCATATCCATATAATAAATAATGTTCAGTAGACTGTTACAAGATGATAAAAAAGAAAATAAGTTTCGTAAGAGTAATCTGCCCATATTTAATATTATTCCTTAAAATAAAAAGACGGTCAATCCGTTTTCGGCTAATAACCGAAATTATCGTAATCTTAGTTATCGCAGTCGCGCTCACATTTATATTATACATTAAAATAAAAAGGCAGCCAAGTTAGAACTTAAAGAGCACTATTTAATTGCACAGGCCTCGGTCGCCCGCCAAAACCACGGGGGGACTTGCTATCAGTTCCCGCAAAGATTGCGAGCGTTATCACAAATCCACAGAAAACTGCGTTTTCGTAGGTTTGCAATAAAATAGCAGTTCCTCTATCGCTGTTGGCACAGGTAGTCATCGCTTCGTTCTAAGAAATAATTATAAGAAATAATCTGATCAAATTTATATATATATATATATATATATATATATATATATATAATGTATAGATAACACGAAACCTTTGTAATGAATTACGTGGCAGAGTCACGTTGCATATTATGGTTGTAGCACTAGTGGGTCGGCTTGATTCGTATGATGAGTGTTTTGTATGATGAGTTACTGGTAACGAGGCATTCCATCTTTGTCCTCAAGGGTGACAATGCATCTAATTTTTTTTTTAGGAAAACTGTTTAGTCTTTGTCTCTGTCTAGGTGCATCAGTATCCATTTAACATTAGGTGGACTGTATGCTCGTTTGTGATCCTTATGTAAAAAGAACACTTTTAAAATGTTTGAAATAACCAAGACTAGTTCTATATTTTATGTTAAATTGTAAGTTAAAATGTTTGTCAGTTTTTTTTGTGTTTTCTACTTCAATCTTTATGTACATAATATAATTTAATAAAAAAAATACCTATCGTTTCCAATTACATCCGTTATAGCTGCTGCTAATATGTCCTCTGTTAAAGTTTCCAAGTCGAGTTTTATTCCTATTCCATGACGAACATACTGTCCAACATTGTACCATTGGTCCCCAAGCATAGGTATTCCAATAAGCGAAACACCTGCTGTTATTGCTTCATCTGTTGATTGCAATCCACCTTGTGTTATGAAAAGTTTAACTTTTGAGTGTCCTGTGAATTAAAAAAAATCCTCTATTTTTATACGAAATTATTCATTTCCTTTATTAAATTCGATTTTTAATAATCTGTTATATTGTAATACTTACTTAGTAGGTCAGATTGAGGAAACCACTTCATTATTTTTATATTTTTGGGTATGTTGTTTAGAGCATTCGAATCCCATTTCCACAAGACATCGTAAGGTAGTCGAGAGAAAACATTTAAAAATATCTGTATTTTTTCTGGAGGTAACAAAGATGGATTTACATTAGTGCCTAAACTGAAGTATATGACGCCGTTTACTGAAGAATCAGAAGCGTATTTAGATCCTGAAATTTTGTTAAAAAACTAGTTATTTTAAAGATAAATTTTATTTAAACGAATGGTAAAATTAAATATTTTGTACAACCGATTTCAATATAAATAAAATGAAAACATTATCAATGTTATCTAAGTCAATAAAATACGCATTATTAAGCAAGGCTCAATAAGTACTGGTTATATCTTGATCAATCTTTTTTGGTTCCATACCACAGGGAAAGTACCAGAAAATACTGTTCACTTACAAAAAGTTCTAAGGTAACACATAAAAATACAATCGAATTGAGAACCTCCTCCTATTTTGAAGCAAATACATCAATATATCAACAATAACAAAATTTATGATAATTTTACTAGGTAATAGGACTTTTCAGCCTAGGGGTCTGTCTTGATAGGTATCACTCTCCTACCTTTCTCACTTTAGTTGCAGGATGAGACATTTCATCTTAGCCCATCAGGGTAACAATGTACCGTAGCCTTCTTTACATAAGATTGGCTGCAGGAGAAAGTGGATTTCAATAGTCATTGACAGCCTCGGGACTGTAATTTCTTTTGTCATTTCATTCTTATTAAAAAAAAAAACATTGTTGAAGATTATTAATTAGCTCACCGTTGGTAACTTTTTCAGAGGTTTTTGATGTAAGCCACCCATATAGATGACATTTGGTGGAACCGGACGATTGTTGTCCCAAATTGGATGAATATTTAAAAATAGCATTTGTACATTTTTTGTTAATTCGCTTAGTGTTGGAATATTTGGGCCAAAAATTCGTTTCAAAACTTTGTTTTCTTTTGCTTCATGGTTTTTAAATAATTGCTTTAGCGCATAATCATTATAATATAATTCAACTAGTTTTTCCCAAGAAGAAAGATTATAGATTCTCTGTCGCAAAGACAAAGGATATAATATTGGATGGTTTGGTGCACCCACAGTTTCAAAGTTTCCAATCATTCCACCAAATGAGCTTACTAAAATAACTGGTGCTTTGTACAAATATGACAAAGATAATGCTGGTCTTGTGCAGGCTTCTAGGAGCAGTAAATCGAAAGATCTTTTATTTGTCAATATTTCTCTAAATTCTTTTTCTTCTGTTTGTTTTTCAAAAATCTTGATTATAAGATCGAATGCCACTTCCACTTGTATACTTAAATCATCACTTTTTCCTGTTGCTGCTGACAAAAATCTTTCCCAAATACTATAGGAAACGTTATGCACATTTATTTCTGTTAAATTTGCTGGTGCTTCACCTTTAGGATAAGCAGGGTCTGGAGTTACAACAACGACTTCGTGTCCACGCTTTGCTAATTCTAATGTAAGTGGTCGAAAAACTACTTGATGACTTATTGATGGAATCGGAAATACCGCCAGTATTCTTGCAGTCTTAACTTCTATTACAAAAGTAATGAAAATAATTATATAAGTAAGTCGCATTACTATATTATACATGTTAAAACGTTAGTCTTATGCAAAATAAACAAACTAAATGACATTCATAACACAGAATATGCACGTATATAGTTGTAGATATGTCAGACATTTTCTAGGAATTTAATAATGGATCCGTAGTCGACGAGAACTTAATAATACATGATTGATGACAAGTGATATTATATAAACGTTATACACAAATTATCTTTCATGACATACAAAAATTCAGTTTAATCATTTTCTTGGTTACATTTAAATATCCAAAATAATAATTATGTTGTCAAAACAGTAAATGGTCATGTTCAGTTTTTATAAATGATTTTTGTATTGTAAAAATTATAGATTATGAGACCGTAACTGTTACACCTTCCTTATTTATAAAAGCTGAAAAATGCTCAGAGCATGCTCCGAACATAGGTAGGAATGGTAGGTTACGATGAAGTTTGAATCATCGTGGCTTTGGCAGGTAATGGCTAACAAAGATATATAAAATAGCAACTTAAAGGGGGACGCCCATTTTCGGCCATGGAACGCCCAACAATGTGAATTTGTTAAAAAATTATATCTTTATTTATGGTTATGAATCGCGGTATTCATTTATCCTCAAACAATGGGAATATTTTTGCACAAATTAAAAGTACCGGAAACATAATAATAAAAATTAGGTAAATCATTATGTCATTAGTTTGTGAATAAAAAAAAGTGTTGCCAATCACAAAACACATTTAAAAAATCGATTCTCTTTTTCGATCGATTATTTACGGTGTCATCATTACAGTGCTAATATAATTTTTAAATAATTATGATGTTACGATAATTAAACAAGCTAATTACTAGCTGATTTCCAATGAATTCTTTAGAGAGTAACAAATGCTACGGCACAATTTAACTGTTAATCTTAACCGATCTTCTTTGAAAACAGATAAGAACTGTTATTCTTATCTGTTTTTAAAGAAGATCGGTTAAGTTATTCTTATCTGTTTATAACAATACATTTAAAATAGAATCATGTTATGGTAACGAAACAAGTTAGTTTCCAGCTGATTTACCATGAATCCTTTAACCTTTTGAGCGCCAAAGTCGCCTATACTTGACCAACACCTGCGGGCCCTGAGCGCCAACGACGTCTATAGTTGACAAAAAACCCGGCTCCGAAAAATATGAAATATAGATATTGGAAAATTATTACAGGTATTTTAATTCTACACTCCTCAAAATAGGAATAACCCAGCAACATGTGAGTATAAAAAACAAGTCTTCTAGAGCCACAAGTACTAAGAAACATTGAACTAATAAAAATGGATTTTTATCTAAGCAAATACTATGTCCAGCACGCCAAAGTCGTCTATGATTGACCGCTAGTGTCAAACGCGGGAGGCATAGATTTCTTGAAAACTATCCAAAATTCAGCTCAATGGTGTTTTTTTTTCTATTATTATTGATATTTGAATAAAATTAAAGGTTAGAAACATAAAACTATAATTAGCTACATGAATAAAAAATGTTATCAGATTATCTTCGCATAATAAATCTAATATCTCAACTCTAGCGCATCTTTAGCGCGTCATCGAAAATCAGTTCACTGGGCACCGTGATCAAGGATAGACGACACCCTGATGACGTCATAAGTGATTACCGAGAAAAGTAGAGCAATGCAACATGAACGATTCCTCAGAACTCATTCGGATTTTGGAAAGCGTCGATGATGATGAATTTTGATTTTTGATTGATGAATTGAATTTTTGATTGATTGGTGAACTAATATGTTTATTTATTCCATGACCAAGATTTTAGTATTATACGGCTGATTTACCTAGTGCGAATAATTATATACAATTGTTGATTAATGAATAATTATGTACCTTTTTTAATAATAGTATAAAATTACAATTAATGTTTTTTTTTACTTAAGGTGTGAAGAGAAATTTTTAATTTTGTGTTGTGCCATTTTCTTTCTCAGTCTCAAAATCATCTAGCAGAATCAGCATCATATCAAATCCCCATTTTCATAAGAGTGTAAGACTTTTCTTCTGTGCGTCACTTGGCCTACGCCTTCCCCGACACATAAAATATTATGAATCGATGTCTGTATATTTCGGTTAGATCGATTTTGAAATCGATACACAACATTCTAAGAATGTTTCAAAAAGGAAGGTCAGCTACGCCGTTGTCGTCCAGTCGCGTCGTCGTCATCGGTGTTGTCATTAGGATGGAGAGTAGTGCTGTGGTTTACTACTATTTTATTGTTATTGTTTGTTTTTTATTTATGTTTATATGTACAAAGTACATATATAAAAAGAGTGGAAGACGGCACAAGATTAAATAAAACATACAGTTTATTAAGAGTCATTTATAGCATAAAAAACCAACAAAAACAAGTTATTTCACCTTATCGATATATCAACTCTTGGCAACACTATTTTGTTTTGGCGCTTTGGCGTACAGGACACGGTAATGCGTTTTTGGCGTGGCGCTCAAAAGGTTAAAGCTTAACAAAACGCAACTACACAATTTAACTGTTCCTAAAAATACATTTCAAATAGCATTTAAATAAATAAAGGAAAATATATTTTAAAAAGCCTGCAGAACTTAAAGCGCCTCAAAGATTGTTTTTTTAACGATATTATTAAACGAATAAAAATCGATATCCTTTCATCGATTTTATGTCTGTTAAGTGGCAACATCGAGTCTGACAGCTAAGCCCTGTCATAGAATGAAATCAGAATTCAGTTCACAACTATAGTCATTTGTTTGTTTTTATTTTTGTGAATTTGTTATCGAAGTAACAAACAAGCGTTATAATTGGACTCTGACATTTTATCCCACCCTACTGACCACGGCCTGAACATGGACTCCGCACCCGCTTCCTTCAATAACCCCTGCACGAACTTGGACTCGATATCCAATGTTAACAATGATCCCAGCTTCCACGCCGGCCAGACTTCTTCCCAGCCCTCGGTAACTCATTCAAGAGGACATTTTCGCTGTGTTAATTGTTGTTTAAATATAGCGAAAACACGAAGGCATTTGTTGAAAATTCCAGAACTGCGAAATCTTATACAAGAATGGGTTCAACCACAGCAGGTAAATAGTTACAATTATGTGTCATGTCTTCCTTTTCTTCATTTTACAATAATTATGGCTTCTTTATTAGGTACAAGATTCGAGTGATAGTGTAGTATGCCACGCATGTTGGACTGCAGCCTGGAATCAAATACGACATCCAACTAGCGAACAGGAAAATTCACCAATTATTAGTCATGGACATGTATGTATCAGCTGTGGCAAGTCACTTTTGAGAATAAGATCACACACATTGTTTGGGTCTGATTCTCTACGTGAGGAACTCATAAGGAATGAAATTGCCCATCAAATTGCACCACGTGAGGTACGTGTTCAACATTTTTTTAATTTATTAAGTGTATGTGCTCATATCTGATAGTGATACATGTTTTTACTCTGATTACATCCACACAAACTATATCTGACAAACATACAAGCTTATTTATAATATGGCGATAAGATTAGCTTGTCACCACCAGGTAGAGTGCTACCGTTTTTACCAACTACCAAGTAATGAGACAATTGATTTTTCATTGTTTTTGGACTACTGGTAGTTTTTAAGTGCTTAATTATTAAATAATATAGGCCATTAAATCTGCTTTTGTGCAGTAACAATTAACTTGATAAATATTTTATATGTATTTGAGTTTAAAGGAAACAAATCTATTTTATTTTTATTTAGTTCACTTTTTCACTTTTGTATTTAATATTATTTCAGTTGCCATCGTCATCTCGTGTGTGTCATAATTGTTGGCGAAGGTTTGATAGAGCAGCATCACATTCAACTGCAGAACGGGAACCATCTGAATCATCCAGTTCATCCTCGTTGCAATCTGAAGTCGGTAATGTATTGCACCCAGATCAACAAAGCTTAGATCATATATCACATAGTATACTGCTACCTAATTATGTAAGAGCACCACTAACACAAAATCAATGTTTTTTTCCTGGTTGTAACGACTCCAATCGACTAATTGTTCCAACAGCGTTGCGGGTACGTCTTTTTTGTGATTACAATTACTATGTACCTCCAGAATGTAGAATCTGTAACTACCATTTAAATAGTAACTCTTGGGATTTACTTTTAGAATCAATATATAATCCTATTAAAACATTTAGTGCAGCACAAATTGAAGATTTTGCTATATTATTGAAAGATAATATGCATAATCATATAGACTTTGAAAATATTGACAGTAT